TTTTGAAAGTCAATTTCTGACACATATCCAAAATCTTGACTGCAGAAAATCTGTTGAACATTTCCACCGCTATTGCCCTGGAAAAACAAGACAGTTCATTGAACAATCATTCATCTTTTGTGAGCCCTTGTGACAAATAGTCCTGGCCTCCGCTCTAGTCCTAGTTGAGCATATCTGGGTCAACAAGTTCTAGTGGTCATTAATCCTGTGACAGAAAAGAACCTCTGCGTTTAAAAATTACTGTATGTGAATGAGATGTCTGTATTGATTTCTGTATGAGAGTAGAGGACTGCAGTGTTTGCCAGAGGAGGGTCCTATCTCTGTTTGCCTTTACAGTAGTTGCCACTTCCTAACATTCTTTGAATGCCACTGAAGAATTATTGACACACATGTTCTTCAAATAAATACATTTTAATCTGTGTTATTAATATCCTTCTCTTTGTAACTTATGTTTCAGTCTAAAAGCAGGCCTTGTCCTCAAGCTTGTTTAACTCTCAATAACTTTTTGGAGTTGGATGTCTTCCAACAGATAACCACAACCGGAGTAAGTGCCATCTGTTAAATGTCACTGATGGCTCGGCAGATTTACATGAACTTTGGAACACTATTCAGAGAAAGTAAAAGGATTTTCGTCTAAAATGTGTGGGAGTATTAGATAGAAAATTCCGTAAAAATGCATTGACAATCAGCAACACAACTTAGAGTACTAATTTCAAACAAAATATGCCAAATAGAGTTAAATTAGTACAATCAAAATGTTTAACATCTCCAATAAGACACTTTTTCTACAAATACATTTTCATACATATTCATATCACGCCTCTCAGTAAACATTGATCAAAGGTTAAAAAAAAAAAAAAAAAAAGAAATTATACCAATTTTGCTAGACTTAATTTGATGTTCAAATGCTAAAACTGCAAACAGTAGCAACAGCAGCAAATTGAAAATGAAAACAGCAGAAATGAAGAGGTTAATTCTGTGCAGAATAGTGTGTGTCTTTTCCTAGGTGATATATAGGGGCACTTGCTAGACTTAATTTGATGTTCAAATGCTAAAACTGCAAACAGTAGCAACAGCAGCAAATTGAAAATGAAAACAGCAGAAATGAAGAGGTTAATTCTGTGCAGAATAGTGTGTGTCTTTTCCTAGGTGATATATAGGGGCACAGTTGGTTCAGATCTGTCACACACATGCCACTCTTCTAGTGAATGCCTGCTGGACTGCTGCCACAATAAAACGGTAGAGCCAAATCCAAAATTTCTCATTTGAAAACAGTCAAATCTATCGTTCTTAAAATCTTTATCTACTTATGGGATTTTGGGGGTTTATGGGATTCCGAATAAGAAGCATTGAGAAAAGTAATATAATAGTGTGATAATCTGAATGTCACAAATTTCACAGATGTTAAGAAAGGTATATAAACAGGTAGGTGCTTTTTATTTTACCATACTAGTGTTTAATGTTGACATTTTGATAATTGTCTCTTAGTTGGAATGAACCACTTTGTACTGCTATTGTTGTACACACTGGGGACATCAGTGGTGCTGGCAGACCCCAACAAAGAGGAATCCAGACCCTCACAGGAGCCAAGGCTCTCAGTAGATCCAAAGCCCTCAGAGGAACCCAACGGCCAAAAAAGTGAGCCTTGCTCAAAGGGATGCACCTGTATTCAAGATGACTACAGCTTAGAGCTCAATGTCTACTGCAGCACACGTAATTTCACCCAGGTTCCCTCCGACATCCCTCTATCTACACACTCCTTATGGCTGGATGGAAACCTGTTTACTAACTTACCAGCGGCTGCTTTCGAAAAGCTGTCCAATCTGGAGTTCCTGAACCTACAGAGCAGCTTGCTGGTATCCCTTGATGGCCATGTCTTTAGAGGTTTGAATTTCCTTGCTCACCTGCAACTTGAGAGAAACAATATTCGTTCATTACCTGGCATAGTCTTTCAGGGCACACCCAACCTTGCGTCCCTCAGTCTCAACAATAACCAGCTGTCTCGAATAGATGACAAGTTGTTCGCTGGACTCAGCCACATGTGGTTATTGAACCTAGGATGGAATTCATTGTCTGTCCTGCCTGAGACAGGGTTCCAGGACCTACACGGATTACGAGAGTTGGTTCTTGCTGGGAATCGCCTGGCTTATCTCCAACCACAGCTATTTCAGGGACTCACTGAGCTCAAAGAATTGGACCTAACTGGAAACTATCTGAAAGTTATTAAGGCAAATGTGTTTCTGAAACTACCAAAGCTGCAGAAGCTTTATCTGACCCAAAACCAGATAGTGACTGTGGCACCTAGGGCATTTGTAGGCATGAAATCTTTGAGATGGTTGGACCTCAGCAGGAATCGTCTATCTGTACTTCATGATGAAACTTTCCTCGGTCTGCACAGCCTACACGTGCTTCGCCTGTCAAATAACTCAATTGGTAGCCTAAGACCCGGGACTTTCCGTGACCTGCAGTATCTTGAGGAACTCTGCCTTTGCCACAACCAGATTCGAGCCTTGGGAGTGAGAGTTTTTGAAGGGCTGGGTCATCTAGAGGTGTTGAACTTGGAGAACAACCGGCTACAAGAGGCACGCATGGGCACATTTATAGGCCTGAATCACCTTGCTGTGATAAAACTTACTGGCAGCTGTTTCCACAACCTACCGGATCAAATTTTCAAGGGTCTGTCAAAGCTCCACAGTATTCATCTTGATAGAAGCTGTCTGACAAAAGTCTCAGCCCAAAATTTCATTGGTCTAACAGGTCTTTGTCGCCTCTTCCTACAACACAACAACATTTCTATGGTTGAGCGTCAGAGTTTTGTGGAACTACAAGGGCTGCAACAGCTTGATCTAAGGTTCAACCAGTTAACATCTATCAACTCCCACACATTTTATGGCCTGAAGAACCTTGATTACCTGCTGCTGTCAGGCAACTTAATTCACAATCTTCCTGCTGAGGCCTTACTGCCTCTGCAACACCTGTCTTGGCTGGATCTCTCTGGAAATAGGCTGGAGTTCATATTTAATGCGACCATATACATGCTGCCACGTTTGCGTTACTTGAATCTGAAAGACAATGTACTGGTCAACCTCCCAGCTTCTATACCCAATAGCTTGGATCAGCTCTGGCTCTCAGGTAACAACTGGAAATGTGACTGTAGTGCAAAAGCCTTTCGAGATTTCTTTCTACAGAAGCCACAGGTGGTTCCGCTGCAGGTTGAAATGCTTGGGGAAGGTGAGGAGCCCCATACACTTGTCACAATATACAATAACATCACATGTGCCAGCCCACCCAGTGTTTCTGGACTTGACCTGCGGAACATCGGCAGTGAACATTTTCGGGACTGTTAAATCTAAAAATATTAATTCTGCTACACCACATTTTACTTTTTCTATTCAGTCATTATAGTTCAAATCCACATGTCAGAGCTTCAATTCATGACTTTTATTTATCTCAAGAAACATCTTTTGTGAAAATATCTTAAAGATGCCTGATAGGCTCTCATTCTTAATCCAAGTCATGTAAAAATAACAGTGTTATTTGATGATCAATTATGTTGATATATTCAGGTAAATATATATATTTTTGGAAATAAATTCAAATAAAGGCTACTGGAAATAAAATTATTAGGTGGTAAAATATTTAAAATATACACACATTTATGAAGAGTTCAGATGCAAAAGCCTCTAAGTGCCGTTTGAAATATTCTTCTAAAATGAGCATTTTCATCAGGCTCCTGTGTGTAGGTTCAGTAATGTCACTTTATACACACATTTATGAAGAGTTCAGATGCAAAAGCCTCTAAGTGCCGTTTGAAATATTCTTCTAAAATTAGCATTTTCATCAGGCTCCTGTGTGTAGGTTCAGTAATGTCACTTTAATGGCAGTGAATAGGTTGTTTTCATTGCTATTAAAGTAAAATAACTGAACATAAACATAGGAGCTTGAGAAAAATGCTAATTTTAGATGAACATTTCAGACGGCACTTAGAGGCTTTTGCATCTGAATTCTTAATATATATATATATATATATATTACTTTATGTCTATTGTCTAATTGTACTCTACATATAACATTTCAAGTATTATGCTGCCCTGCAGGTTTTTTTTTTATGTCTAGCTCTTCCTTCTAAATCAAACAAAATTTGTTTGTTTATGGTCACTATGTAAACATGTAAAAGGACATTGTGCAAATGCTCAGTCTGATCAATCAAACCCAAATATGGATATATGTACATCATATTGATCCATGCTCTAAGTCCAAAGACCTGCTGAGCAACATCTTCAGGTTTGAGTATACAATCAGTGGTCAATTCCCTGTTTACTTCTTCAGAACAGCAATGCTCTAAAATTATCAATGACAATGATTTAAATAACAATTACAATCATTTTAAATTGCAATGTAACTTTACTTAAGTCCCCCAAATTACCCCTAAACAACTCAAATAAACTACAAGGTTTCCAGCTGAATTATTGAAATATTATTATTGCAGTTCTGGAGAATTCAGTTTTTGTCTTCTAAAGGGTCATGAACAAACACCATTCCACTCCAGTGTCTTTCCACCTCATTTCTATTTTATTTTGCTTTGTCATAGCATGTTATGTATCCTAAAAGCCTTAAATAGGCCTAGGCCTAATATTTTCACACTTTTTTCATAGTCTGACAAAATTACAGCTTGACTATCACAAGTGATATTTATGTATTTTTGTCACACATCACGTCTCATATTTTATCTTACGCTCTTCGCACAGTGTTGTTTCCGTCATATTCTTAAACTTTATCAAAAGGGGCAGTAGAGATCAGTCACAACATTCATGTAATTTTCGCACAAACATTGATGTTTATTTCACTTTAAGTTTTATATAGCTTTAAACGTAATAAATCATTCACAAATCCTGTTTTTTTCATAAAAAAAACAATATTTGTTCGTTTTAAATAATAATAATAAAAATAGTAATAATAATAAATCAATAGCAAGTACTCGATTAGCAAGTTTCGCGCCAAAACATCTACTTGACACTGACAGAAAAACGATAAAAAAAGGCCGGCGTCAACAAAGCGGTGTCTGCAGCGCGTGCGGTCGCCATGACAACTACAGTTTTGCTCGGTGGCGTTTGAACGTCAGACTGCATAGAGTCAACAGGCAACTGCTGTTTACTACAGTAACGTATTTTGAGAGGAAAAATACGCACCTGCCAAATACATTCAGAAATGCAGAGGAATTTGCATCTAGACGACATTATATCAAAGATACCATCCCTTGACTCTGACCTATCATCAGTAAGTTCAAACTACTGTGTTGATACACCTTTGCAGGTATCTTTTTTATTATTATTGTTATATTAACAGTGTTTATAATCGTAATTATTATTTTTGACCAAGTCAGTGAGGTCCAGGTGAGTTATTATCTTAAATCTCACAAGCTTTGCTGTAAGTACTCGTGGACTAACTGAAATAAACACAGCTGAACATCACATTTCACACTAGTCAGACAATGAAGGAGAGATGGCTGTTCTAAAGCAACTACCAGTGACTCACTTGCGGAAAGGAAGCAGCACGAACCTGGAGTGTCCAAAAGTCAAGGTGTGTGTCTCTCTGTGTGTGTGTGTGTGTGTGTGTGTGTGAGAGAGAGAGAGAGTTTGCCATCTTTAATAATTTCTTAGATCACAATGTCTTAGCATCTAACGTCACTTAAATCTGTATCACAGCCATTCACTTCCTGGACTGATGATAGCCAAAAAGGTGACTCTAATCCTCAGCTTCCTGTGGGTCACGAAACAGAAGAATCGCTGAATGAAAAAGTGCCACATAAAACAGAACACAATGTGCCTTTGCAACAAAAAGCAAACAAGACTGATTGGATAGAGACCAAGTTCTGTCCTGTTTTATCACTGACAGTAAGTTAGGTTGTATTTAATCACATTTTTAGACTAGGGCTATTCAGTAAAACCATGTGACGAATTATCTCAACAGCCTCTTGATACCTGGGATCTTGGCCAAGTCCTTCAGACTCTACAGCAACACAAACCTCTTGTCAAGCCAATTCAATCCGATACACGCAGAGGTTGGATTGCAGTCACTGTTTTACTCATTCAGGCTGCATACATTTCATTTCAGATGAACATAAAAGGAAAACATCATTTGTTTGTTACAGGCAATGACAGTGAAATGAATGAAAATGATTTAATGAAGCAGCTGGTTGCTTTTTGTGAGAAGAAAGTAAATGAGATGGAAATAAAGACACATGTTTCATCTACGAAAACCCATAATATACAAAAATCATCCCTAAGGTACAGTCATGTTATACCATTTCTATTACAATAAATGACATGACATTACATTTAGATAACATTCAAAAGTTTGGGGTCAGTCGGGTTTTTTTTTTTATTCAGTAAGGATCCATTAAACTGATCAAAAGTAGGGCTGAACGATTAATTGCATTTGCGATAATATCGCGATATGAGAAAACACGATTTTTCAATCGCAGAGGCTGCGATTACACTCGGTCACGTGACACGCGAGAGTGAAGAGGTGTCTTCTTTGTTGAATAATACAGAACATAAAGAGCTTTAAAAAAATAATTGCATATTAAATCGCAATCGCAATATTGTTAAAAACAAATCGCAATTAGATTATTTTCCAAAATCGTTCAGCCCTAATCAAAAGTGACATTCAGTTACAAAATATTTCTGTTTCAAATAAATGCTGTTCTTTTGCACTTTTTATTTATCAAATACTCCTTAAAAATGTATCACAGTTTCCACAAAAGTATTAAGTAGCACAACATTTTTTTAACATTGATCATAATAGGAAATATTTATTGAGCATCAAATCAGCATATTAGAATGATTTCTGAAGGATCATGTGACACTGAAGACTGGAGTAATGATGTTAAAAATTCAGCGTTGCATCACAGGAATAAATTATATTTTAAAACATTCAATTTAAATTGCAATAATATTTCACAATATTGCTGTTTTTACTGTATTTTTGATCAAATAAATGCAGCCTTGGTGAGCATAAGAGACTTCTTTAAAAAACATAAAAACAAAAAAGAACTTTCAAACCCCAAACTTTTGAACAGTAGTGTATATTCTCACATTTACAGATTACTGTACTGCAGGTTAAAAGTGTTTAGGACTTTTCCCAGATGTACTGGGCGACTGATGAATGAGACAGATTTTGAAGGGACCTCAGCACAATTACAACACAATCAAGATTCTCCAACCATATATATTGATTTGCGCAACAATGCATTTCAAACAAAACAATCAGTCATTAGCCAGAGTAACAGTGTCGTAAGTCCTGCAAACCCGGACAAGAAAAAGAGCTCCACTAAGAAGAGGTCTAATGTAAGAGCAAATGGACAGAAAAGGTAAGATATCACATAAATCTCTTAATATCACATAAAAGTCATCTATCCTTCCTAACATAAAATATTAATGAACATTTCACAAGTTTTAAATATATGCTGAGAACATTGTTTTAAAGGGGTCATATGATGTTGCTAAAAAGAACATTGTTTTGTGTATTTCGTGTAATGAAATGTGTTTATGATTCGGCGATTCACAGCGCGAAGTTGATGTATTTCCTCAGCGACCAGCATGGATCAGCTCTAGGCATGACGAAGCGATATCGTCCTCTTTTGGAGGGCCAAACAAAGTAGTTTCACTTTCACAACGAAACACACAGCGCCTTCACGACATGGCGGCAGCAACAATACTACAGCGAGAATAAAAGTTACGCCTTCTTTCTTTGCGTGAACATTTGGGCGGTGTTATGCAAATCTTCCCACATCGTGACGTAGACGTGGGGGCGTGTTAGAATGAGCCGTTTTAGGTAGGCGTGGTTGACTCTTAACTTTTATAAAGAATATCTCTTTGGATTTTAGACTTTAGTCTTTGCAACTTTACAAATCTTCTTTATGCACCAAGAGCTTGTAACAATCCAAAGAGAAAGGAAAAATTTAAATTGCATCATATGACCCCTTTAATACATTACAAACTCAATAATCTGAAAAAAAAATATATATATACATTTATATTCCAAATAATGAATGGCTGATGAAATATACTCTCCTTTAAAAGCCATGACATCTTAAAAGCTAAGTTATAATGCATTTATTTTTCATTTTTAGAGAATTTTCTGTGAAGAGTTTATTACTCCAAAACATGAGACAGTCAGAAGAAAGTATGTTAGAGATGTCTGGGAGCTGGAGAAATCCACAAGATTTTGCTGAGGATAAGCAAAAAAACTCTTCAGGGAAAAGTATAAAGGAAAACCATGATTCTGAAACTAGCTGCAGTGAACCTGGTATTCGGCAGGTCAATGTCTGCTGTCCTACTGTGAAACATGACCAACATAAACGGAGTACTCCATCTTCTCACATTCCATCTGCTCAAAACAAGCAAAGGTGCAAAATACACTTACAGTTTCTTCACTCACAGGAACATGCATAACCTTATATAATAATTCTATGACTATGCATACAGAGAGCAACACAGTCAAAAAATCAGATGGCAGAAGGATCTGAAGTTCTTGCAAGCATTCAGACCTGAATATCTTAATAATAACGGTCAGGAAGCTGCTGAGAGGACTGATATTCTTTATGAGCCTGTGAGTTATTGGCTGTTTACCTATAAAATAAAAAAGTAATAATTTGAATGCTGTTCTCATATTTAGAGTAAAACTGCTGTACTCACTTCCCTTAGGAAGCATCCTACCTTTCTTCGGTGAACACTCTACCTCCAGATCTACAGATGAAGGAGTGTTTGCTGCTGACTGTATCCTTATCCAGTCTTGGGGTGGTGGCTGGAAGAACGCAGAGAAAAACACAGACAATGGATTCAGCCTTGATCAAATCACATGTTTACAATGCACTCATAGCATGGTTCATGTCTTTGGTGTGTCTGTTATTTTGTACAGAAATACATTCATCTTTGGCAGTGAAAAATATTTGACATTTTATGCTACATTTAATCTTTTTGTTACACGTACTGTTATAGACTGATCCAAAAACCTGTGGGAGAAAAGGTAACAAGCTTGATGCCCCTTTTTGGGTGGCTGGGCTGCAGCAGTTTTACAAGGAAGATGGCTTGGCCTTGTACATCTGTGCCATGTCTCTCGAGGATTGTCGAACTGGCTGTAGAAATTCCGGGGTGAGTTCTATACATTTTCCTTGACATATTTGTTTTTTAAATATTAGGCTAATTTAATAATGCTTTCATTATTATACTCATAGATGAAGAAGGTGGAAAGCGACGAGAGCATGTTTTACAGACGAGTTTGCAAGTTCTTTGCTCAGACGCCATTGAAGACTGTTGCCTTCTGGGTACCTCAGCTTAATAATTTGCTGGAGGAACAGGCTTATCCTACCCATGTCCACTTGCCCTCATCCTACCTGGACTGCTTCATCTCTGTCAACCCAAATCGAGAGGTCTTATATGACTTATGCATCCATTATGTTTACTGTGATTGAGATGTTTTTGTCTAAATCTTTAAAGCACTTTGTTTCAGGCTGTTGAAAAGGTCTTTAGTATGATCCCAAGTTTCTACTGGCAAACTCTGGAAACAGAAGATCAAAAATGTCAAAGCGCAGAAGTCACAATTTCTCAAGAGTGTCATACTGAGGTGAAAGAGTCTTTCGTAAATGCCTTTATATCTTTCAATGAACAGTATCTCATTTTATGGTTAATTTTTTTCAGACAGCACTTGTTCTGATAGGCAGTGCACTGTTTCTTAACCCATTGGCAATGCATCACACACTTGAGCTTATGTGGAGATCAAGTCTAGATGTATGTGGTATCCGCTTCCTCTATCCGCCCCAAGAGCTCCTGACAAACTTTGCAGGTACATATAATCTCCCACCATAATTACACAACATGTATACAAATTGCATGGGTTAATCCATATCCTGTCTTCTAGTCAGCAAGTCAGTTATGCATGAAGGGGAACATTCTCATCAGCCAGTGCTCATCATGGCTTTCCGGGGTCCTCACGCTAACTCAGTGTGGCAGGAGATCACAGGGCCATCAGACCCCCAGCTGGCAAGGCGGACAGATCCGGCATCCATCAACGCCCTGTACGGTCACAGTCAAGACCAGCCCCTACTCTACTCACCCCATCTTGCCAGTCTTGTGCATCTGGGGCTCTGCTTGTGGTTTGGTGGTAGAATAGCAAAAAACAGCCTGTCAACGTTAGTATTCCTATGTATTGTAATAATTCCCAAATTTGGGTCATTGTTTACTCACCCTCATTCCAAACATGTACGATTGTCTTCAAATACGAAATACAAAGAAGATATCCAAAGAACCTTTCAGCTGCTTTTGTCCATATTATGAAAGTCAATGGGAGCCAAACAAGCATGAAATAATCCATAAAATTCAACGGGTATGTTCGAGGTCTTTTGAAGTGACACAGTCATTTTATTTGATGAACAGATTGAAATTTAAGCCTTTATTCACTCTCAAATCAAAACATTAATCAACAGATTACATCATTTCAAATTCCATCATCAAAAGTGATCATCTTGCTTCAGAAGTTCGTCATTTGAAAGAATCTTCAAAATCTTCTTATTTTGTTTCATAGAAAAAAATAATAATACAAGTTTGGAACAACATGAGTAAATGATGACTTTTTTGGTGAACTATTACTTTGAACTACCTTCTGACTCTGTAAACAGGATCCAGGACTCTGGTAACAAAGGAGTCAGATGTTCCCATGTTCTGACCTCTTCTCCAGCAAGTGTATGTGCCACAGTGAAAGGTGACTAGAGAATAAAAGCTATGTTATTTTAAAAGTGTCTAACATCTAATAAGTCAAACTTTCTACCCCTTTACCTTTGCCCCTTACAGCGGATATCTTTCTCCTTGTGTCTCCTGTGGTTGGACCACGCTGTTACAGCTATATACTATCTGCATGTGCAAAAACAGGCTTCAGTCTATTGGGACTTCAAAGAGCGCAGATCTCCAGGAAACAAGCTCAATCTCTGGGACTCACCGCAAAGCAGGTGAATAAACCCAACAGTGAGCCTGTACATGTACAGAGATATATTGAAACTGAGAGTGGGCCACTACCATGACATTGATGCTGATTGCATTTGTCTGGAAATGCTGTCTGTCTCCGTTAGGTAGCAGCATTCTGTCACGCTCCCACAGTGTTTCTGGCTGGAGAACAGGTTGAGCTGTCCTCTCATTGCCTGGTGCTGCTCATGAGGAGAGAAAGTGCAGTTAGACACTGTTCCAGACTGCCGATAGGTAAAGCATCCGGATAGCATACTTCGTGCCAGCCATTTACTGTATGTGAAGCTGTACAGAAGTTCTCCAAGCATTAAGTGTCCTGTGTCTTTGCCTGATGAAGGTTTGATGAATGAGCTTGCTGCACAAGGCCTTATTGGATCGATCCGTTCAAGATTCACAGATGTTCTGGGTCCAAATGTCTGCTTTCACACTGTACCCTACTCTAAAACCCACCACAATGTTCTGGGTATATACATTACTTTGCATTTTCATGATTTGTCCACATACCATCTGAGCTTTTTTGACATTTATATGATGTCCTACAGGTGGGTGCATGTGGACAGTGCCGGAGTGTAGCCACATGGTCTTGTCCAGACACACATATCCCTCTTGTCCAGATGCAGAGCAGGTGGTGATTCTCACACTAACTGGTCAAAACATTGTGGAGAAAGAAATGGACTTTCTTCAGAAGGTTCTCAGTGGAGATTCAGCAGGTACATGACATCTACCTAAAACAGAGGTGTACAATCCTGCTCCCGGAGTGCCACCTTCCAGCAGAGTTTAGCTTTGAATTAACTAATCAAGGTCTTTAGGATAACTAGAAACAACCAGGTAGGTGTATTGGAGCTGAAATCTTCAGGAAAGTGGCCCTCCAGGAGCAGGATTGGAGCATTCCTGACCTAAAACTATACTGTCACAAATGTACCTGTATACTTGGTTGAGTAAATCACTAAGTTACAGAACCAAATCTACCTTGTCTTGTATAAACAGGACAAGAAGGATTTGAGTTGCTTGCACTAAAGTGGGAGCCCAAGCTGTCTCAGCAGCAGGCGCAAGAGTTGAGCCCGTTTGAGATCGGAGAAAAAGAGTGGCAGAGCAGTGTGCAGAGCTTGACATCCACTCCTGCCCTGGTTTTGGGTTTGAGGAGGGTGAGGGCATTTGTCACCCTACGTAGACTTTTACCACAAAATTACCCAGGAAACCTGCATGTATTGATGTCTCCCACACCTGAGACAGCTTTCAGACAGACCTGCCTCTTCTTCTCTGAGGCAGAATTGGTCCCTGGTGAGGATTAAAGTAGATAATACCAGTTTTGTAAGGATTATCTTTTTACTTTTGTGTCAAAAGCGGTTTGCTTAATTCAAAATCCCTTCGTCTTCAGATCACACTAGTCGTCCATCATTGAAATTCTTACCGCCTCATCACATTGACACTCCTGGTATGTACAGAAACAAGCCAAATATATATTTTGCCCGCTATGCACTCTGGGAACTGACTGTCAATCTCCGACAACCCTCAGGTCTAAGAAGTCAGTTGCTTTACAGTTACATGACAGTGGGTAAGTGATGTCTTCTCAGAACATGTTCTTTTCTGAGCTCTTTCATGGCCTTTTCTCTCAACTTCCTCCCTCTGTACTCTACAGGCCCAGAGCCACTTTTGACTCTAGCTCTGTTTAAGCCTGGAGCCTGGAGCCATCGCTTTGGTAAAATTCTCACCGTAATCAAACAGAACGGATATACTCTAGTGGGCTCACGTGTGCTTCTGCTGGACTCGAGCATGGCAAATGCACTGACACATCCATCAGAGCAAAAGGTCTCTCTGTCCTCCTCTTTTTAAGTATCATAAAAAGAACAAATAATCAAATTTTAGACCCTTGTGAAAAAGAAGTACATTTTAGCATACTTTAAAAAGAGTACTTAAGGAAATAATATACGTAACCTCAAACTGAATGTAATGTTTTTGAACACTTAATTCATGTTAATTGCAATTAAGTGAAAATGTGTTATAGTCACTGATCTATATGTATGACTATTCTCTATTATAGATCAGTGGCTATAGTACAAAGACAAATTGCTTAAATTTAGTGTGATTTTTGACCTACTTGAGTAGGACTTCATATATAGAATTATCATCAAATCATAATAACTTCTATTCATCATGGAAATAATTGTACTGCCGAATATACTGACAAACATTTATGGTAAACTAAAATACACCATAATGTAATTTTTGTAAACTCTTATACATCAAAATAAATGTACTTATTTTTCCCGCTGGCTTTAAGCATGACAAAATGATAAAATATTATTAAAACAAGATTTAAAATGTTCTTTAAAGTAAAACTTCTTAATTTGACATTACAAAGTGCACTTTTTAAAAGATTATGTGCTGTACTCTCTTTAAGTACACTTAAGTGGTCTTTTATTTCATTAGTATTATAATCAACTGCAAATAGTTTAAGTATACTTTTTAATATTTAAAGTACACTACAGGAGCACATGCTATACAATAAAGTGCACTTTTTTTTTATTTTTTACAAGGGGATATATCTAGAGAACATTTACAAAAAAATTTAGCTCGAGTGTGTAATATAAGAAACCATTGTCTTATGCCTATTTAATATTCAGGATCCCATTGAGGAGCTGGAGTTGAAGTACTTGAGATCGGGCCCCTCGCTGGCTTTGGGTTTACTGAGAGTGAATGCAGTAAAGAGGTTGTTGGAGCTGATGGGCCCTGAGGATCCTGTTGAAGCCCGTACCATAGATCAGACCCTATGGAGGGCCCAGTATGGCTCTGACAGGCTGCACAATGGAATCTATGGTCAGCACTCTGACAAAAATAAACAAAAATCTGACCAAAGCTTACTGACAATATGTGTACATTCTCGTACAGGATCTCCATCGTATCGAAAGGCTGTAGAAGACATAAAACTGGTATTTCCAGAGGGTGTGTGCTGCAATGAAACTTCAGTTATGAGACATGAGCAGGTATTGTAACTTGTCTTTCCTCCCCCTGCAAGTATGTTGATACATTGGCGTTATAAACATCTCTTCTGTCTTATTCCAGATATCTTGCTTGCATTCAGATCCTGAAGCTAGTTTGGATCGTGAACAGCTGCACACCCTTAGAACCACTGACAAAGACCAATTTTGTTCAGGATTCAGTCAAGGCAAGGCATTCTTCCACTTCCTCACCCCTCTATCAACACGTCACAAAACTGAGCCAATGACACAAACATAAACAGTCATGTTGATGTTTTACTAGCTGCGATTGACCTTTGTAATGAGGATGGGAACCGTTGTTATTTATTTGTGTTTTGGTGCCAGTAGGGCCTTTGGTCTGCAGTGCTCTTTGTCAGACCACCTGCCTGCTGATACCTTCCAACCTCCTGTGGCAGTATCAGCCTCCTCACTACTCAGAGCTACTGCAGAGGTTGCTTAGGACAGGCTGCCACCTGGTGGCTGTCAGGCTCTGCACACCAGATGAGAAACAAAGGCAGCACATATGCAAGTTACTGAGGTCCTCTGCTGGTGAAGCACTTCTATGTGAGGGCCCCTGCCTTATCATTGCTTTGCAAGCAGACAATGCCATCACATGTTTCGATATCATTCTCGAGAGGTACAAGCTGAGCTGAAATGGAAGTAAAAGGTTACAGCAGTCTATAGTACAAACCATATGTAACTCTATTCTGTTTGTCGTCTTCTGTAGCATTTGCAGAGAGAGACCTGACTTTAAGAGAGTTACATTGAAACTTCTTTACCCAAACTCTGAAAGTGGGGTGAGTACAGTAAAATTGATCTTACACATTTAAAAATAAAGGTTGCCAAATGACGTTTTGCTGTGATGCCCTAGAACCATTTTTGGCTCCCCAAAGATTGCAAAGAAACAGTTCTTAGTGTGAAGAACATTTTAATAATCTAAAGAACCTTTCACTTTTGTGTAATGAAACGTTTACATGGATGTTAAAGGTTTTTCCATTGAACCATCAATGCCAATAAAGAACCTTTATTTTTCTAAGTGTACCTTATGTTTCTGTATCTGCAGGCAGTGAAATTGCTGTGTTACCTGTTTGATGATCTCTGTCTTGACAGTCATCACCATGTAGCACCACCATAACCAGGAGTTATTCCATAATAGGTACCTAGTGCTAAATATGTAGCTTTCTATATTTTCACATGAATGTGATTACAGACATTACTGGCATGTTTTTACACGGAAATGAAAAGACTGTCTTAATCTTACTAGTGCACAAAAACAGTGTAGTGTTCCAAAGTAGCATATTTATTCAAGAATAATCATTTTTAATTGCTGAATTTGAATCCAACTTACACAAAAACACAAACTGTTTTTAGTCTACTCTGTAACTGATGATTTATAAGTACATGAGGGAAAGAAGAAGACAAAACACTCGAGGCGGGTTAAAGATCAAAAATTATTTAATTCCCAAGATGACAAAAATAATTCCATGAATTCTGTAAACCATTGCATAACTGCTGTAGAGTAGACAAGTGTTAACAATTTTAAATGATACACTACAAGAGAAAGACTATGCATTATAAATAATACCATCTTAAGTAATTCTAGTGAAGAAAACCTCTCTGGCCTTACACGCCATCAAAACGTACAACTATTCCATAAAGAAGCCTCCATAACTTAAACACATAACTCCCAGTAAATGGTTTACGGTCTTGTGTTGACAACACATTCACAAAGTATTATATTGACAGCAAATTGTATAGTATTTCAACACTGATTAGAATATAAGCTGTTCTATATATTGATGCATACTGTACCAAAATAAGGGATATGTTTCTTCCTTGCAATATAAATGATTTCCTCATTTTGACTTTTGAGCTAATAAATCTGAGTTGCAGTTTCCTTTGAAAATTGGACATCTCTCTCTATTCTACAGTTCTCCTGTAAAACCCTGAGAAAAATACATCTCATATTTCCATCAAATACACAAACTTGAAAACTGCAATTGTGTTTAACTTATACATTTATTTGTAATGTATCGCAATTAACAAAACTAGTACTACATCATTATAGATTAACCGTTCTCTATGTTATTCCAGTGACCCATTTTATATCTAATTTGAATGGTACATTCAATATTCAGGGATTTAATGTTCGATTAACCGTAACATTAATTATAGGGAACAGTGGTTCCAAAAAATTCTGGCTTTTATTGTTATTATTTTATCCTCTTACAAAAGTTTACTATTGTAATAGGTATTTCCCCCCTGGCTAGTTTGCTAAATTTAACCAGTTTCATATGTAATATGTATATACAAGATTGCATAAATCCTTAGGTTCAATAAATCACACTACTGATAGAGAACAAAATTAGAAAAACAAAAATTAATAAAAGAAAAATCCACAAGAATGCAAAAAGAAAGAAAGAAATGCTTATTTCCACTGCAGAGCATTATGGTAAATTTCCAATACATTAATTTACACATTGCTAAACAAACGATTCCTTGGTGCTTCTTTAATTACAGATGCCTGGTCTTACATCAACATTAAATGGTCATTTTTGTTAAAGATTACAGTTGGTATTAAAATGGCTGATGCAGACAGGGGGCTTTTTGTGTGTGTGGTTCAGATTTATGGGACTAAATGATTACGATCTGCCATTAGTATAGATTTTGTACAGAAAATCACTGTTAGGCAAACCATTGACACAGAAAATCAGATGGAAGCCTAAACTCAAAATAACTAGTTTTTATAACAATTCCATTTTAATTTTGTCGTTCAACCTTCATGAACGGTTCAGATGAGCTGCTACTTTTAACACACCCTTGGTAAAGAATACCATTGCAAAACACCTTAACGGTTACTCTGACAGTAGACACTGTATACATGCATCATCATGCCGACTTTTCAACATCAATAAATGTGTCTTTATCAGAATAATCACTTATTACTCAAACTGAAATGTTCAAAGGCATGGCAGAGTAGTTAATACACTTGTGACTGGTCTGTAAAAAAGACTCTCGTGCATTGAGAAATACAGATTAAAATATCTCAAGGCACTAAAATCTAAGCTGGAATTATCCATTTTTTCAATCAAAAATACTTTCAATGTGTTTTGATTAAAGGCACACATTTGTTCCAAAGAGATTCGATCCTTACAAGACTTAAGAATATTATCAAGCAGAATGACTGTAAATCAGACATTTAAGTGCAGGCTTATGTTTTTCTCTCTTTTTTTTTTATTCTTGTGAACAGTTATTTATTTTCTTATTTATTACTATAACTGGCAAACTTAACTAGGCCAAAAAGTGAGGTTTAAGGCTAGGAAATGTAGATACTTGAACAGTTTTCATAAATGTAACCCACTGTCTGTCTCAGCCATTTCAACTAGCATGAACAATTTACATCACAATCAAATATGTTCTACACAGCCATGGTAGACAACATTTGACAATACAATAATACACTTCAAGGTTAAAACAAAAAAATTTAAAAATAAGTTAGAAGATTTCTTCTTTCATATCCAAATTCTTAAGAATCCCAACTAAACAGCCAGATAAACAAACACCAGTCAAATGGAAACTAAAAAAAGCACCTTACGGGCCGAGTACTCTTTTAAATTCCTGACAGCATACATGTAGTGCACAACAACTAATGTTTCAAAACTGATTTCAGAATTTTATGAATAAGTACTAGAAGTATAAAAAGAAATAATATATACTTCAAATAAGCACTAATCCATATGGCCACTTAAGAATATTAACACAAATATCCATTCATTTCTATGACATTCCTTCACTGTAGATTACAGCCAATTCAACACTTGTTACCGTTTTCACTGAGAAATTGAAGAGAAAAAAAAAACAATCTTTATATTCAGTTCATAAAGATTTGTGATTCATTAGGATTTTTTGAATGCACATATTATGTAAATAAGGTACTAGATTTTGTCATATTTCTAACTATTTCCTCAGAATGTTAAAATGAAATTGCAGTTATAAAACTGAAGAGAGAACAAAGAATAGTAAAGGTCTTTGGTAGAAACTACAAAAATGGGCATTCAGTCCATTAATATTGTCAGCGAAAGCAGTTGGCATAGTTGTCCTGTCAAATTAAACATTGAAAAACTGACATCGTAATTGTACACCACTTCAGTTGAACTTTGAAACAAGTATAAACTACAATTCCACTTTGGTTCATTTGAGTAAAGTCCACATTTGATTTGACTCTTTATTTGAGAAATAAATGTTGTGTGAAATGTCAAATATTTCAACCACATTTTATAGTTCAACAAAACCCTACGTTATGGTCCAGTAACCAAACAAAGGAACTAATCCCTCAACAAAGTGACATGTCCGCAAAGCTCTTGAACACATGAGTGTTGGAAACATCACAATACCCCGAGCTGCTTTGATCCATTTCAACCTATCTATGTCACCCATCGTACGGAAAGGAACACGTCTTTGCTAATCGGACTAGAAAAGATAAGCACAAAGTCAATGCGTTTGAAGCACAGCATAAAAAATATTTTTGAATACTCGACTGTGATGCCTGACCAACAACTGGATACGTCTGCTCAACACAAACACATTTGGCAGTGTGATTTAGAGCTTCAGCTGGTTAACAAAAGTTACACACTGACACATGCAGTGACAAATCAGTCCAAATGTCAAGAACATCAGCTACATACAGACTTTGTGGATTAAGATACGAACGCAAGAAAGAAAGCAGAGGAGAAATCACACAAACACACACACACACACACACACACACACACACACACACACACACACACACACACACACACACACACACACACACACACTGTCTTTACCTCGTGAAGCTTAAAGAAAATACGAGGGTCTGGACAATTAGATCCTCAATATCGGTGGTCCCTTTTGAAGTAAACGGTTAATCCCGATTTCAAAAGAACTTGCACCTTTGTGTACCTGACAATTTACCGCACAAACTCGTTGCAGTAAATATGAAAGGAACAAGAAAAGAAAATGTTTCAGATGACACAGTAGCAGGTCATTTCAATTAGATTACCTAAGCACATTACACTGTCGAATTTGGATACGAAAAACACCAATGATTTCTGTCTGTAAACTCTACAGAGCACTACAATTCTACACATTTCAATAAACAGAAATGTACTAAGCCAGTTTAGTTTTTGCAATCAAAGAAACACACATTTCCTGATTTGAATATCCCTACACATTTAAATCAAGGATGATTCAACATTTCGAAGGATAATGAAGCTGCACCCAAAAAGCACCATCGTTATTGAAGGAAAAGGATCCGATTCTTCAGCTGAACCTCAGAGCTCAGGCACCGACCAGGGTGAAGTCTCTCGGAAATACTTTAGTACTGAATTGGGCCGCTAAATGCTCCGATAATACGGTACTATTGAAAAATACATACTTTGAAGAAATTTGCACAAGCTATGGGTTTTCTACTACAATCCTAAACTCTTCACAGATGCTTCAAATGGTTTTAAGGCAAGGCACTTAAGAGGGAGTGGCCAGGAATCAGATACATGTTCTAACATATCTGAAAGGCTAAAGTCCAAAAAACAAAAAAATTACTGTCGCTGAGGACTTCAGAACACATGTGCTCATCTAACAACTACATAATGTATCTAAATAGTCACTATAAGATGGAGAAATCCATTTACTAAATGCCTTAGCATACAGTATGTGCCTTACTGATATTACAGCTGCTGGTTATGCCTAAAATGCATTCAATTTTGCACTTATTTGATTGAAAAATTTAAGTAACAATGAAAGTATTAACTACTATTTAGTACTATTTTATATGAAAACTAACAAGATATATACACTATGCCATGATTTAACGGTAAGAAAAATGAAATATTCTATTATGTTTCACAGTACACACAAAAGCTTCATAGTTTAGCATATTTGGGAAAATATAAATCTAAGAAAAACAAAAAAACTGCAAAGCAGCTTAAAGCAAAATTTCTAAAAGAAAAAAAAATACCCTCAGACAAATTTCCAAGTCAACAAAGTGCTTAACAAGAAACGAATCCTCTTCACACAGCTAGTAGAAATAATGGCGTTGGGCCGATGATTTTGTTGCTAACAGTCAAATCAGGGCCAACTGACTATAAATGCCAAAAGCAATAACCAAGGGAAATAGTTAAATGCTTTATGAAAATGGATAACCTAGTGTGTACAAAACAGGTATTGCATTTAAGTACTTGATTTGTATCAGTCAAACACCACTTATTAGATTCTAATAAAACGAATCAATAGAATCACTATATGAAATACTGAAACACACAAACAAATGCTATTTAGAAACTGTAAGCATAATAATAATAATAATAATAATAATATGTATTAGTAGTTCTTCAAAGGGCTAAATCATTAAATAGTACCTTGGATAGCTGTACATCACCACTTCAATATTTTCATCTTACAGTAAGGACATTCTGTTTTACCAGACGCACAGTTCTGACAAAGTACATAATGTTGGCAAGGCTGCAGGACAATGGAACGATCATGCTTTTGGCAAACTATACATTTCTTTGACTGAAGCTGATATATTACCTGTGTTGAGAAAGAGAAGAGTTAACATCAGTCACACTTTGACAGATTCAATGCAGTGCGTCATGCATGACTGACTGACTCATGTGGATGTTAAACCTCGTTGCCTACTCTTCCCCTATAAGCCATGCTTACGTCTATTTGACGAGAAGAGTACGACGGTCTACTTAAGAGTGTGTGTAAATGTGACATGGTGACGTATGTGTGTTGGGACCTGGTCGTTCTTACCCCGTCTATGAGGTCTAGGTCAGAGCGCAGCTGGCTCTGGATGGAGCGGAGCTTTGGCAGGGGGAGCTGGTCCAGCTCGCCGTAGCTGCGCAGGAGGGGCGTGTTGGGGGAGCGACACAACATTTTTAAGTCTCCTTGCAGTTCCTTCAGCTTGCGCTCGGTGTCCTCCCGCTTCTGCTCCGCCAGCTGCCGCTCCGCCTCTGCTGATTTAGCTTGCTCCTTCGCTTCATGAGCATCTTTCTGCCACGCTTCGCAGGCCTGTGAGAGATGTGTTTTAATAAGACGTTCCATCTGATGACAATAACTAAACTGATTCTATACCTTCTGGGCGTTTTTTTCAAGCTTCAAAGCTAAAGAACAATAGTGCTGCAGGGATGATGTATCTTTGTAGGCCAAAACCTGGAAACGAGTTAGCCAATCAAGTTTTTTTTTTTTTTTTTTTTTTTTTTTTAATTAAATGCCTGAAATAAGGTCTGTGGTTAAACACGAGATAACTTGTCTGGAAAAATGCAGTTGCTAACAGGTGGCTAAATGGGACTACAGAAGTTATCTGGGACATTAAATGTCATCACACCAAATAGGTAAACTCGTCTACTCACTAGTGCACTTTCACAGCATCATTATGTTTATAATCACACTCGTGCAACCTATTCTAATTTAAACTTTCAGAGAAAATGTTTTTTTTGTTTTTTTTTAAATAAAAGATTCAGAAGATAGTTGAAAACTGGTGGTAAATGTTAAAGTCATGCAACTGTGATGAAGTTCATTTATTGTCTACGATAAGCTTCTGGAGATTCTATTGAGGCTCCAAAATTAATAAAAGTTGTGTTCATTTGTGAAAATTATCATTATGAAGAAAACGTGTAAGAATCATAAACTTCTGCTGGCCACAAAGCTTAATTTCCGCAATAACCCAACAGCCAATGGAAAAATCCTATTGGCTTCTTTTTGAGGGAGCCAGGGGATCACCACAACGCTCTATAGCTTAAAGTGTCCCTGTAAGATAACAGCTTCAATAAGCAAAGTAAAGCAGTGTCAGCCTCTGTTTTCTACAATAAAACTAGGCATGAATCTCTCAGAGATGACCTACAGGACAAACTAAATGGCTACTTGATAAAAGCATTTGTTTGTAAGCATCACTCATCTTGTGAGGCCCATAAAAGCAAGCGAGCATATCTGACCTGTTTGATTTGGTGCCAGGCCTCCTCCCATTGCTTTATCTTACGCTTGGCTTCATCCAGTTCTCGGAGGAGCCGGCCGATGTCTGCACTGCTGGAGCCGACCGTGCTGGAAGTAAGGCTGCTGAACACTGGAGACGGGCTGGGAGAGAAGCTGCCACTCATAAAGTCCCATATTCCCCCTGCCCCGCCATTCAGACCTAAGCCAAAACATTATGACATTAACCCAAATATTCACAAGACTGCAATTGTGATATAAAGTTTGGGAAAGTAATTCTCACCCAAGGAGTTCTGCGCAGATGTGGGTGTTCCTAGAAGGCCGTGCTCGGTTTTAACAGGTGGTGCCTGTGGCTGGCTCTGCTGGGAGGCCATTCCAGTGAGGAGAGACTGGGACAGGGATTGAGACAGAGAGCTGAGCGGGGAGGCAGATAGAGACGATGAGGAATGCAGAGAGGAAGACCGAGCCAGAGAGCCAGGAATATTGACAGGAGCAGAGCCTCCTAATAACCTCTGACCTATGGGGGAAAAAAAAAAAAAAAGAGTTTGAACATTAACGGCATCCTACACCTAGTACAAGATAACACAAAAGTAACAACTACAACAATAATGTATTACTTGTTAAAACAAGGCCATTGTTGTCTTGGTCCTCTAGCTCTTTGTCAAGGGAGGCAACATTGATGTCACTAAAATTCAGGTCAAGTGCAGATCCTAAGAGCAAGAAAAGTAGTGTGCGATTCAATATCTTTGCGGCGTGGATACAAAACACAAGCTACTTAAAGAGACAATATTACATACAGCTCTTGATGTTTTGTTAAACTTCAATAGAAAAACTTGAAGTGATAAAAGGCTTGATCATTCAGTTATTCATTCTGCAACATATAATTGATTTCAGTTCATATATACTCAGTCTATAATAACCATACATCAAAGGCTGCTTTTGGGCAATAGTCATATTTTTAACTTAAATTAGCGCAAAGGCAGATGTGAAGGCAAAAGCACTTACCATCCATTTAGTCACTGCTGCTGGTGAGTTTTAGTGGACTCACTTGTCTTATGGCTAATGCACTGCCGCAAATACAGCTTTAACTTCACTAAACGCTCTGCATTTAACTGCACTGTCTTATCTGGGCTGAGTCTGTCTCATGTACTTTTACCCTTGGATATAGCGTTTGGCTGGACAGCTGTAAGATGAAAGAGTGTTGCAAAGGACTTAGTCGTGAAGGCAAAAGCACTTACCATACATTTAGCTGAGTGCTGCTGAGTCACTGCTGCTGCTGGTGAGTTTTAGTGGACTCACTGACTTATGGCTAATGCATTGCCACAAATACAGCTTCCACTTCACTAAATGCTCTGCATTTAACTGCACTGCCTTATCTGGGCTGAGTCTGTCTCATGTACTTTTACTCTTGGATGTAGCGTTCGGCTGGACGGCTCTAAGATGAAAGTGCTGCAGGACTTACCTATTACTGACTCCACAGTATTGCTGCCTGGATAGAAAGGCGTGGCTTTTGCATTCATGGTTGATAAAGTGGTGGGTGACGAACTGTCAGATCCGATACTTGAGGCCAAGCTGGACGTGATGCTTGATGTTATGCTGGACGCTAATGGGTTCACCACTGAGAACACATTGCTATGAGCCTGAGAAAGGAAGCAATGGGACACAAGTCAACCTCAAATAATAGGGTCCACAATAAATAAGAGGAAAGGAAAGGACGTGACATGTGGCCAAGTAAGGTGTCCCATACTCGGAATTTGTGCTCTGCATTTAACCCATCCGAGTGCACACACACACAGCGGTGAGTAGTGAACAAACACACCCGGAGCAGTGGGCAGCCATTTTTGCTGCGGCGCCCGGAGAGCAGTCGGGGGTTCGGTGCCTTGCTCAAGGGCACCGTTCAAACAACTTGTAAAAGTGCATGTATGACCCCTTTAAAGAAATAACAATAAGAAATTATGCCAAAGTACACTAACATAAGACTTGATTATGATTTTAGGACATTTCTATTACCAGCTGTTGACATTTCTGCCTTCATGCTCCCCCAAAAAGAATATTAATTTAGAAATTAAAAAATAATAATAATTTCATGAATTTGAATTTGTTTTTAAGACCACTTTTATTTTAGTATCATTTAAATATACTACTATAGTACTTGTTGATATTTTGAGTTAGCTTTTTTGATTTTATATTTTCATTTTAATATTAAAGTTTTAGTAATTTTGTCATGTGTTTTTGTCATGTGTTATGTGCTTTAGTTTTTTTTTATATTGCTATTTAGCCTTAATTTATTTTTGTTTCAGTAATGTCAGTACACTGTTTTCCAGAATATAAGTTATATTCCAAAGTGACTAATATAATGCAATTAATGTCAAGTTCACAAAATATGCACAAAGCGCACACATTTGGCTTTGTGCTGAAAGAGAGAGGTACGTGAGCCCAACTTTGTTAGTATTGCGCATTTCCCTCACCCCAGTAGTTTGTTTCACTTTAAATAATTTTAGCAAGAGCAATTGAACTCGGGTTCAGACCAGGCAATCGAACCAAGTGTGAAAGCACCCTTTAATTAATTTAGTTCAGTTAGCTGTCAAGGTAGCATTTCTTTCATTTTTTTAAGTTTTCTCAGTTAATAAATGAGAATATATATATATATATATATATATATTTTTTTTTTTTCTTCTGTTTTTTTC